TCTATTCCACTCCAGAGCTGAGTGGCAAAATCAACACAATAACGCAAGTAAGTCTTTTTTTTTTTTTTTTTTTTTTTTTTTTTCTTCAATGCACATTCCACTTTTGTTTTTGCAACAATTTTCCTCTTCAAGGAAACTTTCCTCATTCAAACAGATATAATGGCAATTTCCACCTTGAAGAAGTGTCTACAGATCCTACCTACACAAACTTGAAATAGAAAAACTGGTATGAAACACAAAATGAAATACATGTGTTTGTATAAGCACAGGAAGAAACAGCAGAACAAAAGTTTAAAAAATAGCTTATATTGGTAACAGAGAACACAGCTCCTGTCGATCACTCTGAAATGTGTTGTTTCCATCAAGCTGAAGAGGACAGCACAGATGACTTGCTAGCTAACGACCCTGCATTCCTGGCGAGGATGGCAAAAAGGTTGCAGGCTCTCACACATGCCATTGCTTTTCCTGTCAGCCCAGAATTCCATCTCATTCAGCTTGATTTGCACCTTTTCTCAGAGCTTGGGAGAAGCGTATGGCTATTTCCTATGTAGGTAGTGATTCCTGGCTCTTTTGTAGGTACTTTCATGCAGGAAATGCTACCTTATACTATATTCTAAAAAACTGACACATTCACAGAGATCTAGTTTGCATTTGTACAAGTTGCATTTGCAAACATAGTAGACTGTGTATGCCACAATTATTTACTCAGGATAAATTAAGAACAGGGGCCCAAAGGAACCAAAACTGTAACTGTGCTATTTCTTCTTCAAACTGAAACTGATTACCAACAACTGCTTTTTAATTAAACTGGAATAAAATGGTGGGAAAAAAAAAAAAGAGTATTTCCGATTGCCAGCTCAAAACAGGAGCAGGAATTAAAAACAATGGACTTGCACTGAAAAATGTGACCAGGAGGGTGTAGGGGAGGATGTGAGAGAGGGAACTGGTGGCATCCAAGAGAGGCACAGAAATAAGCAGGTCCCAGGAAGGAAAGTTCCTCTTGATCCAGATGAGGAATGAGCTGTGTATGTGGCTCTGTCTCCTGTGAGGGATGAAGGTCTTGCACAGGAGGGGTGGACTGTGGGGAATTAATACTAAGAGACTCCCTCACTTGTTTCTGACCCTCAGAAATTCCCATAGATCTTTCCCAGCACCAGCTTCCTACAACACCCACTCAACTGTTCCAGCCCTCCTTCCCTACCTGCATAAAACCTCTGACTCCTCCACTGCTGCCCGTCTCCCCTCCTAAACCTCGCTGGCCCCCCAAAACTCAGTCAGCAGTTGCAGTGAACCCACTTAGGGAGAGCTGCTAAGCCTTCAAATACTCGAGCCTTTTCAGCTAAAACTGAATAACTTCAGTGATAATCAGAAGGTGAAGAACCTAACCAATGAAAACATTTATTAAACTCACTGCCCACCGAATAAACGTGGAAGATCTAGTAGTGGAATAGAGAAGCAGCAATAATCAATCTTACAGACTCTTAAAAATCCTCAATTGAAAATGAAAATCCACGTAGGCTAAATCTAAGCATTCTGGGTTTGCTTTTCTCCGCAACCTTCCATGGAAACACCTGTGAGGTGTTTTTAAACACCCAGGGCTCCACTGATCAAGAACTATGGATCTAGGGAATTTAAATGAAGTCATACAGCTCTTCCATCCCTTTTTCTGAAGTATAGTAATAGGTAATTGTCTATACGTTTGTTTTCTTATATTAAGAAGTCCATTTAATTCAGTAGAAACTGCTCAAGCCAAGTAATACGCCCAAACTTGTCAAAGAATGGGGATACCATTACTTTCTTATTTGGAGCCTAAATGAAATAGGGGAATTTTGCCATCTCACTTATCATTGACAATATTCTCAATTACCAGTGAAATTTCCTCCTAAAGAAATATTATAAAGTATATAGAAAATATAATGAAAAACAAAAGAGCAAATATCAAAATACTGACTGGATGTCCACTAACCAATATATATTTATTTTCTGTTTCACTGGGTGACCCAGGCACTTTTCAGTGAAAGCTCTATTCAAAGGCATTGCCCAAGGATTTTTTTCATAGTATCATAAAAATGCAGAAGAGCTTCAAATTATTTGCATACTGTTATCAATGAAAAAAAGCCTTTTGATGGCAGTGTGTTCTGTTTCTTAATTCCAGCACTTTTCAACATGCTTCACATATTTCCTTTACCTGTAAAGTATCAAGAAGTTCAAGACTAGCTTCCTTTCATGTATAAAATGTTGTTCATATTTAGCTATTAACAAACTATTTAAGATTGCAATGACAAAAACGTTTCTATTTGAAAACGTCCCTAGAGGGGACAGACATGCTGGTACCAACAATCTGTACCACTCCACATAAAATAATCAGACCATTAATGTGCTTGATGTACTGGCAAATCAGATGTATAAAGACTTGTAGTCTGATTGGTTGCTCTCTTAGAGTAGCATAAAGTGAAATCATGGTAAACAATACTCCTTTGTAGTTTTATTGTTACTTAAAGCATTAACTCCACCGGGCAGCTTTAATCTTGTACAGTGATTTTTTTATATAGTAAAAAAAAGATTTTAGTAGATCCCTGTCTATCAATATTCTTAGTCTTTCAAAAATTATGCCTTAATATACAAGTGCTTATTTAAACATACCGGATACACAGCTTCAAGACAACTTTAGGTCATGAATGCCGTATTCAAGACGAAGCAGTTTTTTCCATATCGTTCACTCATTTAGATGATGATGCTAGCTTTTAACAAGCTTGGATGATTTGTGGAGGAAAAATTAATATAATCTAAGAAGAAAATTAAGGTTGGGGTTGTGTATTATAGCACACACATTTCTTTGTCGTATCTGAAATGAGAATACATGTAGCCTGGGGTCCTGGAGCACCTTCCTATCTGATCATCCTGCTTGTGCACACTGAGCTCAAACCCTCTTAATTCTCATCTTGGGAGTTGAATAGAACCCTGCTTCTTCTCAAAAGTGCTGCAAAGCTTTGAATTAATCTTTTACGTTCTTAATGTGACTGAGGCAGAATTGGCAGGAATATGAACAGTTCCATCAACAGTGGTTTATCAATCACATCTGCCTTGATTTGAGATGTGGAGTTTTTAAATGTTTAATGCCAATTGTAGAACCGTTCAGTATGTCAGATATCAAAGGAAAATTCCATGTTTGTCCTGGTTGCTCTTCCTTCCAAGAACTGCTGTTCAGCTGAGCCCTGATGCCAATCTTGCTGAAGTTCCTAGTTAAGAGAACTTGCAGTATAATTAGGCTGAAAGATGATTTGAAGTGGAAAATAGTTGATGAGTAACACGTTTAATTTGTTTTGAAGTATGAAGAAGGTGACAAAGATGTGTGTCTGGTTTTCCATTAGAAATTATGGCCTTTTCTGCTTTTTTTTCCCCCTTTTTTCAGAATGTCATTGGGAAAGCATTTGGCCTCAATTCTGCAAACACTTGAATACATGAGTAATAAGGAATTTTCCTGATCCTGTTGAGGATTGAGTAAAACAGTATACTTGTAATATTGGAAATTTCTGATATACATTTCAAAAAGAAAAGCTGAAAGAGACTGAAACATGAATTATTTTTATTCAGGCAGTACTCAAAGTTGTTCTAAACGTTCTTAGCTTGATATTGAATCTATTAAAGTACATCTATACTTTAAACAGTTTTAGCCGTCTCTTTTGTTCAAATCGTTGTGTGAACTGTGCCCAGAGAATTGTTGTCACTTGTCATATTGGAAGGATATGTCAAACAGGGGCTTTCAGAGGTCTGGTAATATTGGATATCTTTATTAATGGCCTTGGAATAGAGAATATGATTCTTGAAGTTGCAAATATAATCAAGTTGGAAGGAATAGCATGCATTGTGGAAGGCAAGATTATAAATATGTTGACAGATTGTGTAAGTAGCCTAAAATATAGGATGAAATTCAATGGGGACAAGCAGAAAGCACTACAGTTAAACAGGAATAAAACCTCAAAGTGTATGAAATTCTGATAACAGGAGGGGATTCAGAGGTTTTTGGGTAAATCAGAAACAGTATGAGTCAGCAATGTCACACCGTGAAGAAAGCAAACATCATACTGGGATATATAAACAGGAGTCTCATATGTAAGACACATGAAGTAATACTTCCACTCTACTCAGTACTCATAAGGCCTCAACCAAAGTACTGTATCCAGTTTTTGGCACACCACGAAAGTGGAGGGAGGCCAAAGGAAAGCAATGAGAATAATCAGTAGTCTAGAAAAGACAACACAGGGGAAGACTGAACCAAGAGGAGTTGTTTAGTCTACGGAAAAGAAGACAGACTGAAGACATGCTGACAGTTTTCAAGTATGTGAAAGCCTGCTACAAATGAGGCTATAAACTGTTCTCCATGGTCATTGTGCATAATAATGGTTTAAAATTCAATTAGGGCTATGTCACCAACTTTTCTTACTAACTGCCTATATGGATGGAAGAGTTCTCAGTAGATCATGTGAGAAAACTGTGGCATCCCTATCAGGGAGGTTTAGGAGAAGGTTGGGCAAAGAACTGTCAAATCTGCTGAGCTACAATGTGGGGAAATTAGGCTGGATTCAGTGCAGTGCTTGCTATCGTATTTGCTTTCTACTCTAGCATACTTCTTTACGAAATTTTAATGTATCTTGTTGCTGTGGGGAAGCCCATCCAAGGAAGGGAGGTGGCTACGGAGGGGGATCCGCAGCCAGGATGAAAACGCAGCCCCTTGGCCGAAGCGGATCACCTCTGCCAGGATGCACCGCAGACGACCGGTTCTCTGCTCCCAAAGGAACTCCCTCACCGCACTGCCCGGGCCGGGCTTCCCCCGCGTCACCCGCGCGCCCCCGCGGCTCGCGCCCGCTCATCCAGTCAGGGCGGGTCCGCCTCCCTACTCCGCGCGCGCGCGGCCGCTAGCCCCGCCCACCCCGCGACCTCTGACCCCCCCCGCGGTCCTTAGTTACCGCGCGGGGCGTCAGGTCGGGGCTAAACCACAGCGGCGCGTAGCGGAGGCTCGGGTTAAACCATTCTCCCGGTCGCTGAGGGGGGGGGGGGGGGGGGGGAGCGAGGGCTCGGAGGGTGCCCCCTTCTTGCGCCCGCAGCGGCTGCTGGGCTTGTTGTTGTAGCTCCCGCCCGCGAGCTGTTCTCTCCCCCTTCCCTCCGCTCTCTGGTTGGTTTCGTCCCGTGCGGGCCATAGCGACGGCGGGCGCGCTGGGGGAAGATGGCGGCTCCGGCCTCCGCGCTGCTGCCGGCTCCGTGAGCGCGGCGCTCGCTCCTTTCTCCCTTCCCCTCCTCGCTCCTGCACCCCGTCCCTCCCCGTCTCTTCTCCTTCCCCGCCGGGGGCGTAGGGACCATGTCGGACTCGGAGGAGGAGGAGAGTCCAGACCGCCAGCTCAAGCTAGTGGTGCTGGGCGACGGCACCACTGGCAAGGTCAGTGCCGGCCCCCGCCGGCAGCGCCCCGCTCCTCTCCGTCGCCGCGGTGCCCCGAGCCCCCTTCCTGGCCTTCCCCCTCGGCTCTCCCGCTGAGGAGGTAGCAGCCCGCGGCGGCTGCCAATCGATCGCGCCGCCGTTGTCGCGCTACCCGGTGGCGTGGCCCTCCGTTTCTCTTTCTCCGTGGGCTCCCCAGCGGCGGGGGCGCAGCGGAGGGCCGGGACGGGTCCCCAGTGCTCGGCAGCTCCTCGCTCTGGGGCCGCCGGTGTCCGCTCCGTGCTCGGCAGCGAAACCCTCTAAGGACGTTTCGCTACCCTCGCGGCACCCGGAGAGGCTCGGCCAACAAATAGACGCGTACGACTCTAGTCCCCTTTTCTTGAGCCTTAATAAAAGGAGTGGCTAGTAGCGTAACGACTGCGGTGCTGCCTGGTATGGGAGTTCCCGGTGATGCCCGTGCGCTGCAGACCGGGCCCGGGTGACGGGTAATTAATTGCTTGTCTGGCGTTGCAGGGCTGTCTCCACGTCATTCCCGGGGGCCGGCAGTGCCCGGGAGGGGCCGGGGCCGGGGCCGAGCACGGCAATTCCCGGGTCTCACCGAAACGACGAGCAGGGCCGGTTGCATAGTTGGGTCTCCAGGCTCTCTTCATTTCGGCTTCGGGGTTTATGACCTCCTGAGTTGGCAGTTGGCATCTGAGTTACTGCATCAGAGTTTGGAAAGACACTTCTGGGTCAATTTACTTTATGATTTTTTTTTTAATGTATTATTTTTTCTATCTAGAGTTAACATAATTAAGTACTATTTATAAAAGTTTGTTTATGAGTAAGTTATACTTGTATTTTTAAAAGAGAAATTTTGACTGAGAGACCAAAGAAGGCAAGAGAGGCCACTTTCTTACCCATTAAAATAGTCACTCTTTATTGTACGTATGTGAACATATCGCCATATGTAGCCTGAATCCTTTTGTGAGATACACTTGAAAATAGTAATTTTGATGTATATTTGAGGAATACAGTTTTAACTGCATCACTAACTTTTGAAAACACTGGGAGGCAGAAAGTCTGTGTGCCTCACAGTTCATATGAAAAGTAGAAATATTCTTAGAGGTAGTTTAAATGAAAATAAGGTCTTAGTACATGCATGGTTTTGCTCACTTATGCAGAGCTCTATAAAGAAACAGAACGTTGTTTTTTTTTGTTTTTTTTTTTTTTTTGTCTCCAATGGTTCTAAACCCAGTCTGAAGTGGTATTGTATTCATCTGAGTCAGTAGATGGGCAATTCCAGGCGACTGTGTGATGAGAGCATAATAAATACACAGGATTGACAGCTGAAGTGCTGTTTCACTGGTAGTGTTCCCCAGGAGTTTTCCATTCAAACTGAGGAATTCTTTCACTACTGCTATTCAGCACCTTGTGGCAAGACCTCTTGCCAAACATGGATTTTCAAGTGTTCTTGAGTTTTGATGTATATTCCTGCTGGTTCCTACCTCTCACGCGGGAGCTGCCACTCACTGAATCTCCTGCTGGCTCTAGGAATCCTGTGCTTCAAGTGCAGTTTATTTTGTATGAGCAGCAGCTATGCTATGGTGGGCTGCTTTTCCTCCTGTCCCCCCTAGATGATGCTGTAATAGAGGCTTCTTCCAGCCATCCTGATGGTCTAGCAGCAAACACTTGCAATTATTGTAAGATCTTTCAAAAATAAAGAAGTGATTGGGTCATGGAATGGAAGGATAAAATGTACCTAGTGCTATTTCAAGCACCTCAGAAGACTAAATTGTTGAGGTTCTTCTCCTTTGTTGGCTACTCGTTCTGTTAACTTGTTGAAACATGTGTATGTCTATATGTTTTCAAATCTAAATAGCCTGCCTCTCACATCTGGTTCACATCTGGTCTTTAAACACATGCATACTTAGCCTCTCATTTACTGTGCAAGACATTGGTTTTTCTCTTCCTCTGTCACTGGGATCATTGGACAGGAGGAGTGTAGAGTGTAGGATATCATGCAATATATCTTTGAAATATTGCATTTTGTGTTTAATGTGAAATGTTCACATTTGACTTCTTTTCATTGCTCCCCCTCCTGCCAAAAAAAAGAAAGACAAAAAAGGAGGTAAAAATTTTTTTTTTTTTTTTTTCCTCCCTCTTGGCCATCTAGGGCTGTCTGGTCTTCAGTTCTCCATGGGAAAAAAAAAAAAAAAAAGTTCTTTGAGTCAGCTGGCTGAAGGTGTAAACTTGCTTTCTTTTTCTTCACCCATTGTTTAGAAGCAGTATGTTTCAGGTTCTGTGCAAGCGTTGGTAGAAGTTTAAAAACAAATCTGTGTCAGTTCAAGCTAAGGGTAATATTTGTGTTTCCACTAGCTAGGTATTATTGCTCTATCTGTAAGGCAAGGGAAGGATGTGCTTCTATCCATTTGTTTTGTGGTGGTTGAATGAATAATTGGATACTTAGAATTTTAAGGGTAGGAACAAGTAGCACAAGCTGTAGGGAGGGAGGAGTAAAAAGGGAAGAAGGAATATTGAGTGAGACAGAGTAGAATCTGGAAGAGTATTAGGGTAAAATAGAGACGGTAAGGAAATAGTAAATTGTTGAAGAATTGAGGAAGGCAGGATTGGATAGTAAGAAGCTAATATAGGATGATTTTAGTGAACTAGACAAACTAGGAAAACAATCTGAAAATAAATCAGAAGTGGGGACAATATGAGATGAAAATAAACAGCAATTATTAATAGCAGTTGGCTCTTTGATTTTGATTACAGGAAGGAACATATATACACGCAGCAGCCTTATGCATCTAGGTTTTAAATCAACCCACTCTTGCCAGGCCAAAATGATTTTCCATTAAAATAAACCAACAGTACTAGAATGGACTGAAAAAAAAAATGATGCAATGGTCCAGATATTTCTACTCTTGCTATGCACAGATTGTCTTAATATTGAAGGATATAATGATGCTGATTTGAGCTAGAACTACTCTGATTTGATACTGTTGAAAACGGGTTTGGGCCTCTGGAAGCAAATCTTGGAGCTATTCATGGGAAGGGAGGTCCCGAGAAATAGGTGTTCAGGAGGAGCAAAGCAGCTGAGGTTCTGACTTTCTGATTGCAGAAAGTCATCTGTTGCGGCTGGGACTAAGGTATGATAGCAGAAACATCCTACCTTTTCTTTCTTGATGAAAATGAAAGAGCAAATCCTCGACGTGGGAATCTGCAGGAGTTAAAATATAGGTTGGAATAGAGAGTGGTGGCCTGTTTGCTTTAGGACTTTTTAGGATGCCAGATTTTCAAGCATTGTGCTGATTCTGGATGTTGTTACACATGGGCTCAAAAACTTCATCAGTGTTGACAAAAACATTGTTAATGTTCAGTCTTGCAAATGGAAAATTGCATCAAGCATCCTGTGCAGATTAGCCTAGTTTCATAGATCCTTCTAATGTCAAAAAAGCCTTGATAATTTTTTCAGTGAACAAAGCTTCATCAATAGTTAGCTTCAGATGACAGGACTACTTCCTTTCTATACAAAATATTTCCCCTCCGCTGCCCCAGCTAGATTGTTGTCAGTGAGGAATTCTTTGTGTTGGACAGTATGTGGTTTTATGCTAGGTGAAGCATTTTGTTATTTAGCCTAGTGTTTCTTTTCGTTTTGTCTGTCTTAAAATTCTTGCCAGTAGGTGTAGGACATGACCGAAGAGTGAGTGTTGCTGTGCTTGGAGAACTGTATTGACATTCTAGAAGGGAGTGAGGGAAGGGATAGGTATGTATTGCTTTTTTGAAAATGGATTCTCAATTGGCTGGTAAAGTTGGTATGTGAATGGAAATCCGTGGCTTCAGAACTATGTGCTTGCATCCCACAGAATTTTGGTTTTAATTTTTCTTTCTTTCGACTATGATGCTACATGTTGGCATTGCTTTCTGAAAGCCTTCTTCTATAGGATTTTACTCAAAGAATTGTCATTGGCAAGGTTTTCTCTACAAGTTTGTGTTGTCCTGGTGAGTAGTCAGTGTACGTTAGAGCTGGCTATCATTGCTTTTTCTGTTTGACTTTCAATTTATTTCATTTTTGTTTGTTTGTTTGTTTGTTTTTTTTTTTTCTGCTGTTTATTCAGTATGTAGGTGCTTAGGAACAGCATACAGTTTACACTATGAGTTGTTGACATTGAAAAATAGAAGCAAGAAATTGTCTTGCCTCACCTGTGAGGTTTAATTGCATCTTCATTTCCAAAAAGCCTTCCCAAATATCCCATTGTATTTTGCACTTAGAATACTGTAATTTTTATGTATTATTTTTTACTGTTGTCTTGATTGCTTTGTGTTAGAACCCAAAGACATATTTTTTATCTGAAAGGAGGGAGTTTGTAACACCAACCTTCAATAGTGTATTGCTATTCAGAACAGCATGTAAACATTTGCTTTGAAGTATTTAAGACAAATGTGTGAACCTGCCAAACTGGGTCTAATGGAAATTCTGCCATGACAGTTGGTGACCTTGTTGTCTTGGTAGAGATGTGAGGGAACAAGGACTATGCTCTGATCTCTATATCAATGGCTGAAATTTTATGAATGGAGCATTACAATTTTTAAAAAGGTTCACTGATCACTTATTTTTACAGCTACAGTTCTACTGAGCCATTATTTAACTTTGGTTGTTTTTTACACGGATTATACTCAATGTATCCTTACAGGCAAAGCTGTCATGCAGGATCTTTTATGACAAGCATGGCAGATAACAATTTTAGGATTGAACGGAGTATTTGCATTGTAGAGGTACTTGAATATGCATTGACCTAAATTCTTTCTTTGCTGTTGTGGAGAAGTTTGAACTGTTGCTCTTAGTATTTTGTGGATAAATGCTTGTTCTGTAAATATATAGAGGACTCTAGTCTGGTAATCCAACACCTTCCTTGAGCTCTAACGTTTATTGGAAAAAAAAAATTAAAAAGGAGTTAGTCAATGATTTTCTGCTATAAATTCCTTTGCATTCAGGAGCACAGTAGAGGAAAACTGTTTAAGAGAACTTTGCCATGCTGTTGATTACTTGCTGCTCTTATTGGTTGGCTGTTAATTGAATGTATGTTGTTTATTTTTACTAACACCCCTAGAATCCCTCAGGGAATATCGAGTGTCACAGAGTGATAAAGCTAATATTTACTGAGCCCTTAAAACAAGAAGGGAGTGGTTGCTTATTTAATGGGGATCTAAATTAGTGTGTAGGAGAATATAGAACACTGTGATATAGTCAAATGGTATTTTAATCTGTACTCTGGGTACTGGTTACTTTTCTGAAAAGGAAAATGTCAAGGAGAGGACTTTATGGTATATTCCTGCAATGTTCTTATTCTTATCTACATCTTTAAGGTCATGACAGCTGAAAAAGAATGTCTTTGTAATCCTGACATGCTAGCTATTGCGATTAAAAGATTCAGTTCTACTGACTTTTTCAGTGCTGTAGTCTAAATCTGTATTGAATTTTATTTTGTGCATTTTGTTAGTATTACTGTCTCATAGCTGTAGGCAGAAGAATCTTCTCATGATTCATCCTCTGTGGTCTTCACCCTTTCCACAGTGATGCAAATGAATAAGCATATCATGCCATTTCCAACTTACTTGCTTTTTCCACATTTATTTATTTATTTTTAATCCTCTCAGAGCTTGAGTTCAGTGAAGTAGATTAAAATGTTACCATAGTCTTTAAGTCTTTAATTGTTTTTTTTTTTTTTTTTTTTTTTTTTCTTTTTTTTGGATTACTTTCTAAACATATCTTCTGAGATCAAGATATCATTTATTCTTTATATATGACAGTGGTAGGAATGTAAGTGTGATATAGAAACAGGAAAACAGTAAGTCTTCTGTTATTTACTTCACAGGTAATTTAATAGTTGAATAAATTTTTGCCTATTCATATTAGAGCTTTAATTCTAGAGCTCTGGTGATCATGTTTTCATGCAAAAAAAGAGTAAGTTACCTTTTCTTCCTGTGTACATTTGACATTATGAGCATAATATAGATATTTGTTATAACTGTTCTATTGATAGAATTTGCCTATTCTAATTTTTCAGAACTATTGGCATTATTTTGCTGTTGGATTTTTGACTAAATGTGCTCTAACGGCAATTTCTAATAACAATTGATGTGATGCATCTCTTCATGTCTTGATGAGCAGAAAGCTGGCAAAAAAAAATCCTTTTTGCCCATTTTGAGTTTTCTCAGACACTGTGAGGGTTTTGTGAGGATGTTAGGCTTTTTTCCCCCTATACACATAAATGCATATTTAGATTTGTTTTCTGCAATTACTTTGTTTTTATATTTTTAGATGTCACATCAACAAGAGATTTGTAGGTATGCACTAAAAATTTGACATAGGATGTACTTTATCCATGTAACATTAATTTTTAATATAATATTTTTTTTTTCACAATACTAACTTTTGTATTCTTTATAATTACACCTCTCTTTTCTCCTTTCCTTTTTTTTTAACTTTAGATTGTTGGGTTTTTCCCTTTCCCCTTTCCCTTTTCCCCTTTCCCCTTTCCCCTTTCCCCTTCCCTTCCCCTTTTCCTCACCTTGCATGGAGAACTTAAATTGCTAGTGAAAGAATATAAATGCCTTGCTTAATTACCTTATGTTGATTAGTTGTGTATCCTTTTAGCAGTATGTAGTAAAAGCTGATTATTAGGTTAACAGTATATTCGTCTGTTTTTGTAAATCCACAAAATATAAATCAAAGAAATTAATTTTCAAAGTTTTGCTTAAAAGAATGATTCTGCAAATGTGCGTTCTTAACATCAGCTTAGTTTTTTCTGCATACCAGAAAGTACTCTTCCTATCTTAGACTTCATGTAATCCTTGATCCTGAAACTTTGATGTACAGTGGCAGGAATCCTGCCTCACTTTGGAGTCACTCTGGGAATCTGTGCTGTGCAGATCTTTGTTCCCTCCCAGAAAGTTGGTGTGGGATCATGGTGTTCTGTATGAGGGAAGGATCCTTGTTTTGGAAATGAATGTTTTGAAAAAATAAGTTCTTCAGGTATGGTTAGTGTTATTTAGATTTGTGTCAGCTTGAGCATGCCAATAATACATCATTAAAATCTGTAATATTAGTGATCTGAATGTCACAGTATCTTTGAAATACAAAGGAAATATGTGCCTTCTGTTTGCATAAATTAATAGCCTTTACCACCTACTCTTACTATGTTGAAGTTGGCTGGAATGCTTGTCAATCCAAATCTGTGAACACTGTCAGCATGCTTTGATTGAAAAAGTGCTTAACTGTTTCATACTTCTGGTTTAGCATCAAGTTTTTTGCTGTTTAAAATGACAATTTGATATTGTTCTGTTTTAGACATCCTTAGCTACACGTTTTGCCCAAGAAACATTTGGAAAACAGTACAAACAAACCATAGGACTGGACTTCTTCTTGAAAAGGATAATATTGCCAGGTAAGAGAATAAAAGCTAACACTAAAGGGTTTGGCAGCAGTAAGACTTGAAGAAACAGATTCTTCAAAGTAATGTATACTAAGTAAGCTTAGTACAGTGCTTTTTATGGCAAACTAAATTAGGTTATTCAGAGAAAATTTTGTTAGTACATTCTTGCCAGGTGACAAAGGGTTATGCATTTGCAATGTATATGTTTAAGTAAAACACCGAATTAAAATAAAAGGAATGCTATCTACATTCATGATTTTTATTATCTTTACTTGAGTATACTCACTGTCCATGTGGATAGTGTAACACACAACAATGAAATGGAACTTTAAATGTATTCATTGAGAAAGTATATGTGTTTTGAAAGATAGATTTATATTTTTTTAAATGTAATACACAACTTGTATTTGAGTTGTGTAAGAGAAGCATAATGCAGCTATGGAATCGCAGTGCTCTAATATGTGAATGCTGTTTTATGCAAGGCAGCATGAAATTGCTGGCATTTAATAGACCACTAAAATTTAGGGTCCCTTGACACTCATAAAAATACAGTTTGAGCATTCAAGATGTTTCACTTCACGACGGCAAAGAAACTATTTAGATGCCAGTTGCAGCATACTGCAAGGAAAATGCAAAGAAATAATTAAAAAAGAATAGTTGCTGATAGAAGTTTGTCTCCAAACAATTGGGGGTTTGCAATAACTCTTTTCATTGATTTGTGGTTGCTCAATTTCTGAGAATGAAAGTATTTCATTAGATGCATTTTCTTCTAGCTTGAGAAATCAGAAGTTGTTAGAAAAAGTATGTGCAATTATTAAAAGTTGTAGTGAGATTTGGTAAGGTTGGTGCAAGTTCTGTAGTTCTGTTTTTTTTCCTTGTGGAGGGGAAGAGGGAAGCAAACCCAGAAATGAAGCATTTTAGCTATAACCTGAAATTATAAGAAAATATATGCAGTTCTTTAACTTATTTTGTTAAAATTATATTGCCAGTAATTTCTTGATTATGTTTATATATTTTCTTAAGTGAAACAGAATATTCTTTTCAGACTAGTCCTGCATTCACTATTTTGATTTGGCCATTTTGCTGTACTTTTTTAGTATCTGGTGAGTGATAAAGTACCAAATTTCAGTGCTTATTTCTCCATAAAATCAACAGAATAATTTTTTTATTGTCCTGCTCTAAAAACACTAGTGTGCATAATACTTAACAGCAGTACTTGCAGATGGAATGTGTACACAAATCATGCAGTGTGCATGCTGAGAACTTGTATTTTGCAAGTTTTTTTCCAGCTGTTAAGCATACAGAAGCTATTAGTACGTTACTGGGATTTTAAATATTCTTGTTGAGTAGAAAATTTGGAAAATTATCAACTATTGTTTCATTTATGTTTTAATTTCTCTTAGTTTATTTTGTAATAAAATCAGAATGTAGATGAAAATAGCACCAAAGCAGCAACAAAGTCTGTACATCTATTTTCCTCATTTATTGCTAACAAAATAGTAACATTCATGGAATGTATTCATATTCAGGAAGAAGCATTTTTCTGTAGATTATTATTCTGTTTTTGCCTGTGCCTATACACATGCTTAGGTATACATGGATTTCTGTGTTTTGTAGATAAGCAGAACTGGTGGTGGGGAGCAAGAGGGAAGGAAAAGAAGAGGGAGGGAGGTAAAATTGCTAAAGACTGGAATGGGAAGCATTACGGATTTTTCCAATTTCTTGATTAGTTCTGGGTTTGCAGAGCTGCTATATTTACTTGAAATGTTAATTCATACTGCTGTACAGACATTGTGATGTGTATATATAAGTAGGAAAAAACCTCTAGTTTTCTTTAACAGAACTGATTAATAGCTATGGTTCAGTATTTGATATTTTTTTTCTTCTTTAAATATAAGCAAAGATTTCAGAAGTTAAAATTACTGATCTCTATAGAATTGCACAGAATTTTACATTAGACCATGTTAGAAATGCATTTTAGCTTGTAAAATCAAGTAGTTTCCCCCCTTTTTTGACTTTTTTATAATAAAAGCTATATTTGTCTCTAGTTGTTTTAGTAACTGCAGTTTTGCAGTGAAAAAAGTAGTTTGCATGGTAAAACAATAGTTTAATACAAATAATAAAACCTTTGGTTAATTTTGAACAATATGACTTCTAGTGTTCAACTGTTGACAAATTCTCTCCATACAGCTTGTTCAAAATATTATTTCAAATGCAAATCAATTTCAGTATATTTATTCATGCAGTATCTTGTATAGTCTGGATGCAACCACGGTGTAGATTTTACTGCGTAAATAGTGTATCTGTTAGTCAGAGGGTCTCCTGATAGACATTTGTATGAGCCAAAGACAAATACTTTTAGGAGGGTTGTGGGTGCAGTCCAGTAAACAGGATTCTTCAGTTAAAGGGATTTTTTTTTTTAGGTTGTCAGTGCAAAAAGTGGGCAGATTCATGTTTTTAGTTCCATCTTGACTGTGCAGCACTTTAAGTAAGGTTAACCAGTGCACCGAGTATACTTCTGCAGGATCACTGCTGAATCAGCCCTGTGGCTTCAGTTCATACTAGAAACAGTCTAGGTACCTGGATGGTGTTGCCTCAGTTATTTTAATTTTGCACTTGTGTGCATTTTCTACAGAGTAAAGACTATTTTCTCATTCCTTATCAGTGCATTACATACTATTTTTATGTTTTTTTTTTTTCAGTTATTTTTATTAGTATATTAACCTTGTTTCTGAGAACTGTCTTATTATGCATGGTTTATTTTTGTTTTGTTTTCATTCTCCGGTTTGTATGTTCCTCTTAAATCTGTGAAAATATAGATTTCAAACTCTGCAGAAAACTTCATGTGCTACTGTCGTAGTTGTTTATTAAATATTTGCTAGGCAAATTGTCCAGTTTTTCCTTCTGTCAGAGTAATCAGCATCCTTCTTTCTCCCCCAAGATCAATCTGAGCACAAAGCAAATATTACAGAACCTAATTGAAAAAAAGGGAAAATCAAGCATTTTGTGCTGGAGGCAATCAGCATGGTGAGGTCTTAAATAAGAACCATTTCACCTTAAATTAAGGTTTTTTTCCCAACTTTTTTTCCCAGTTTCTTTTTTCTGTTGTTTGTGAATAATTCGTAACAGTAGATTTTTAAGTTGAACAGTCACTGTTAGACCATTTAATTTAACTTCCTGCATTCATATTTCTCAGATAATTTCATACAGTTATCCAGATGCTAAGCCCAGTATGCTGTGCATGATTACCACTCTTAGGAGGAAGAAGGAAGTTTAGAATCTTTTTAAAGCATTTGAACACAAAATTAACCATCTGAAAATTGTTGAGTTTTTGTAATTGATAATATTTAAAAAGCTTTTTTCCAAATAGCTGGCATGAATGATGTGGTAAATTTCCAGTAGAATGCATACAACCAAGTTAGAGGTGGAATACTGCAGCGTGGTGAGCTTTTGAGCATGTTTAGTTTGATTACCCACTTGAGGATATGTAGTTGTTTCAGACTGTGGATTGGCCAGTTTATCCAGGGCATGTTTTATGGAGGACTTACCTGCATTGTTTGCAGTCACTCATGTTCTAAGCTTTAAAAATAATTAATTAGTACATAATATATGAACTGTCAAAACAAATATGCTTTTTATTGTATAAGAGGTTGCCTTTGTTGAACTGAAGCATCTATGATGTACTAACTAAGCCCCATGTAGAAATTTTGTATCTTTATAGTAGATAAAACTCATTGTATCTCAAAAGTACTGTGAACAGATCATCCCACATTCATCTTTAAGTATTTGAGACCAAAGTAGCAGTCTAGGAAATTGGTACTTTTAAGCAGATTAAAGCAAGATGCATCATAAAATTATAATGTGTTATATTTAATACTACAATTAGCATATATTCAACTGTATAGTTCAAATTTGCTATTTATATTCACTGAGCGCTGGGTTATATTTCCATGGAGCACCCTCACTTGGGTAACAAATGTGAGTGTGTTATTTATAAATTGATGGCTTAATAGATCACACTGTGTAAAATAAGGTTGCTAATAACATAAAATAGTTGAATTAAGCATATCTATTTCTTAGCAGCCCAAAATATTGTGTTCTTTTTCACTTGGCTCAGTTGTTGTGATGTGGAATTTGTTGCAATGTTGTTTGTTTTTTTTTTTTTTAGTCTAGGAATAAAATTATTAGGCAATTATGATTATTTGCGAGTATGTAGAATTGTTATGAACATGTAAGTCATATGAGTTGTATGTAGATTAGAAAAACTTTCATCAGACCATACTGTATTACAGTTTGGTGCTTCCAGTTGGTCAGTACAATTCTGAAGTTCTCATGAAAGATGAGCCAAACTGTATTTTAATATGTTTATATGCATGTGGTGACATACGCTGCTGTGTGTGTGTGTTTAGTCTGTGGGTTTCTGAGTTGTTAGCTTGCAGAATATGTATGACTTTTAGGATATTAAATATTCTGTGTTTACACCATTTTTTTTTGTTACTTTGTTTTTGAAAACTTGTTAACAGTTTCATCATAATTTAGAGACTTCACAGTAGGAAGGAAGAACTATTCTTCGTGGAGATCCTTCAAAGATGAAATTTTGTAAATCATGTCCAGTTTAGTTGCTTGCTTTGGGGTGGTGAGTGGAGTAAATAATCATAGTTTGCATCCTCAATTTAGATACATGTCAGTATTTCCATTTTTTTAATCTGTCAACTGTATAATTCTTTAGCTGTATAGTACTAAGAGTATCACTACCAAAGTATAGTTACTGTGCTGATTTCCCCCTCTTCTAGATTAGTAAAGAAATTTTGGAGACGTGGAGGGGCATAGTATATGGAATAATGGGATTAAGTTGGCATTAATTGTATTACTTTTCAGTTCCAAGTACGGTGGTATAGAACTTCATAAAGTTTTACATGTTTCTTCAGTGAAGAATGTTACATAATTTCTAGACAGGAATGTTATACTTTATGCAATTCTGGTTCTTTTCTGTTAATATTAAATACGTTAATATTTAGCTATAGCTATAGTTTTACTGCATCTTAATGATTTAGCTGGACACAGGTGACTTTTTTCCAAATTATACAGTCATCTTTGTGTTGAAATTCAGTTACTATTTATTGTATACTTGTAAAAAGCTATGCTGTTATATGGTAGAGCTGTATTACCTGCCGTGATAATATATCATTAATTTTTTTTGTATCTAAATTTTCCAGGTTACACAATATCTGTATAATTTTATTTTTCAGGAAATTTGAATGTTACTCTTCAAGTGTGGGATGTAGGAGGGCAAACAATAGGAGGCAAAATGCTGGATAAATATATTTATGGAGCTCAGGTACAGTATAAATGATGATAATTTTATCTATAGTAATTGTATAAAATTAATTGAAACTTTGTTTTTAAAATTATATATATCTTACAAGTGGTTGTTTTGTAGATCTCAAAAATGTTGATACTCTGCTTAACCTAAACTTAATTGATACTAATATGTAAGTCTAATTTTGATTTGTAGTTATTTTTTTAGTGCTGCTTAAAAAGCAAAGCAAGGGTGTGCCTTTGTATATCTGAATAAGTGCAGATGCATGTTTCCATGCTTTGTGTCTTGAGTTAAGAAAAGCAATCATAGTAAATAGTAAAGGCTATTTGGATATCCACATGGTAGATATAGTGGCTGCTTTTAGAACAGATGCCTCCTGGGGGGAAAAAGTAGAAGGAGGAAATTAAGAGCAATCCTACACCATTAAACTCATATATGCAACTGGGGTTATAAGAGGGCAAACAGAAGGAGGCAACCATGTAGCTAAATATTTTTGCAGAACTCCTACCCAATGAAAATTAATTTTATCTTGAGGTTAACTAAGCAACTTAAAGTGAATGGTAGGATTAAGTAAGAGCTAAATATTATAACAGCATCTTGATTTAGGAGGATGTACTATATGCCAAACTTCTTAACATGAGTGATCCTAAAATGTCCTCTTTAGGTTTTATAACGAGAACAATATGCAAAACATGTTTTATTATATAATGTTATATTTATCTGAAAAGAAATCAAATGCACCTATTTTTTCCCCCAAGATTTTAAGCTATAGGAGTATGGAATCCTAAAACTTACTGAACTGAAACTTTATACTAATAAGTACATCAGAGGGATGGCTTATTAAGGAGATTAGGATTTGTTAGTTAATAGGATAAAGACAAACTTGTCAATTTAACGTTGTGTCTCTCAAAAAATGTCTAAATGTTTTTAGCTGTTGCATCTGTTCTATAGCATTTTCTTATTTTATAATAAAAACCATTTTGCTGCCCCGTTAAAGATCTGCCAAGCAACAGGAGAAGGTGGCTTCCATGACAGAGGGAATTTGATTAATCACAAATTGTTGCCATATGCCCAAAGTAAACTCAATGGAGGAAATAAAAAGCTATTAACTTTTTCTGTATTGAATTTGATGATAAACTTAGGAGTTTCTTATCAGCAATAGCAGGTCAAAAAGTTAATACCAGTGCCCCATAATAGTGAAAAAGTTGATATCAATAAGCCTAAAGTTGCAGAAGTTTGATTTTTAGTCATTCTGAGCACATTAACAAAAACAACTCTACATCCAATTTCTTCTCCTTTAATCCTCCCCAACCCTCACTGTAACCCTAAATTTTAATGAAATAATGGCTGTTCTCTCTCCCATTATTGGCATGTATTACCAATGTCTGATAGACTTTTTATCATCAAAGCTGACTTGTAACATGCTTTTCTATTAGCTTTGTAACAGCACCTGTTCAGGACACATAAAACTATCTTTATTTTCATCTATTCATGAAACACCATGAATAATTCGGAAAGGCACTGCTTTCAGCTTGTTTCTAGGCAGAAGCTTATTTAATGTTGAGCACCTGTATCTTTGCAGAAGAAAAAGAGGAAACATAAAGTAGAACAAGTAGGAGTATTTAGAAAGAAAAGTCCTTTTAAGTACTTATAACAATTCCTGTGACTAGACAGCAAAGCAGCAAGAGAGTAATTGGGAAGAGCTAGTGTGGAGTTAGCAAGGATAAATTGTGCCCAACCAACTTGATTGGCTCTGTGGAGATGAAAGCAGTGAATGTCGTTTACCTTGGCTTCAGCAAGGCCTTTGACATAATCTCCCATCATATTATTACAGACAAAATGTAGAGATACAGACTAAATGGGTGGACCATGAGGTGACTAAAAAACTGAATGGACAGCTGGATTTAAAGGGAGATGGTCCATAGCTCAGTGTCTTACTGGTGTTTGGTTATTTGATACAGGGGTCGTGTCTTTTACTAATTCTTTGAACAATGGAACAAAACATTGTAAGTTTGCAAATGACACCAAACTGGGGAGGAACAGTCAATATGCTGGAGAGTAGGGGTGCTATTGAGAGAGACTGTAACCAACTGAAGGAATGGACCAGCAGAAACCATATGAAGTTCACTGAAAACAAATGCGAAGTTCTGCACCTGGCACAGAATAACCTTATGCAGGCTGGGAATCAGCTCTCAAGGAATCAACCAGAGAGTGCCCAGCAAAGGGCTGTGAAGCTGATTAATGGACTGGAGCATCTCCTGTATAAGGAAGGGCTGAGAGGCCTGGGGCTGTTCAGCCTGGAGAAGAGAAGGCTCAGGAGGATCTTTTCAATGTATATAAATACATGAAGGGAGGGTGGAGAGGCGTTGGAGCCAGGCTCTTTCCAGTGGTGCCCAGTGACAGGACCAGAGGCAGTAGGCACAAACTGAAACCCAAGAGGTTCCCTCTGAACGTCAGGAAACACTTTTTAACTGTGAGGGTGAGTGAGCACCAGTACAGGTTGCCCAGAAAGGTTGTAGAGTCACCATCCTGATATTCAAAAGCTGTCTGGACATGGTCCTGGGCAGCTGGCTTTAGGTGACACTGCTTGAACAGGGGCATCGCACTAAACGACCTCTAGAGGTCCCTTCCAACCTCAGTCATTCTGTGAAAAGGCTGTGGAGAAAAGGCAGTGGGGGTCTTACTGAAAAAAAAAAAAAAAAAGATTGAATGAGAGTCAGCAATGTACCCTTGCAACAGTAAAAGCTAGCTGAATACTGGGCTGCATTAGTAAGAAGGTAATAGGTAAGTCAAGGAAAGTGATTATCATCATCTCTGACATTTTTTGAGGCCACATTTGGAGTACTGTGTTCAGTTTTGGCTTCCTCAGTACAAGAAAGCCTTTAAAATCTTGGAGTACCTCTAGGGAAGGTTGCTACAAAAGAAGTTTGTGTACCTATGGTGCATTGCACTTGGTCAGCATGTATGGTGCAACTGGAATTGTAAATATCTTGTTTGTAAAGTACACAAGCTGTACACATATACACAGAGTAGATGATTTGGATGTATTTTAGAAGTTGTGTTCATCTGCATGTATCCTCCAAATCTAAATAATTCAGATTTGAAGTACATGTGTAGATAGCTTGCAGCATGCCTACAGAATGCATCATGCCTTTATCCAGTATTTGCAGATACCCATAGCCTTGTACAGACTTCATCTGGTTGATGATCATGAGATTCAGAAATCACAAGTGACCGAATTCTTGGTTTTCTGCCCAGAAATCCAAATGTATAGTAGACCTACTTATAAAATAAGATGACCAGCTGGAGATGGAAGTTTTTGAGAATCTACAGCAACTGAAAAGGTTATCTACAGTCTACAGTTCACTTGATCTCAGTTGAAATTTGATCAGAATACCAGGAGGAATAAATGGAGCATGCATCTATACTTTGCTGCGACTCTTGGCACTGGAGTTTTCCTTCTCTTTGAATGAGAGATGAATCTCAGTTCTCTAGGATAGATCTTTTGGTTAAGTTACTGTTAAGAGGCCATTTTTTTGACTGAGATCCCTGATTTCTCGTGTCATGTTTTCAAATATGAGTGCCAGATTTGAGGATGAAAACCTGCTGAATTTGCTTGCGTGTTTGCAGTTGGAGAAACTGCAATTCACTTGCTGTCTTGAAGCAGTTGCTTTCCCCCCCCTTTTTATTCTCTGGTGTTGCTCATCCAGAACAATATAGTTGCTGTATCCTGTCTTGGTAGCTGAATTTCACTAATGGGTCAGAACAACTCTGCAAGGTGAGAGGAAAAAGAGCTCTTTGATCTTTGTAAATAAAAGGTACTTATAAACATATTTCTGTCAGTGTTGATTAAAATTGACACATTTATCTCAGAATTGAGAGAGGCTAAGAGTAATCTTGTAGTCAGTTACCATAGCTGAACTGATAGACAGTAGCTTATTCAGTTATGGCAACTCAGTCGTGTGTAATTGAGAGACCATATCCTCAGTATCAGAAAGACAACAGTGATTAAGTGTATGCAGACTGTAAACTGGTTTCACTTGTAAAAATAGCATTTCTGCAGATGTGCAAGATATAGTGAAGTTACTTTTTGCTAAAATGAATATTCTGTGATTAGAAAAAATACTTCAGCATTTTTGGCCTGATATATTTAATGAATATTTTGGCCTGATATATTTAATGAATATTTTGGCCTGATATATTTAATGAATACTTTGGTCTGATATATTTAATGAATATTAATGAAAAGTTGAAAGTTAATTTAGTTCTTTTATACTAGTCAGTCATAGGATGAGGGCAGCTGAGCATAAACCTGAGGAAGAAAACATATGGTTTTAATTAGTGTTTTCTGTAGCTTTCTTCTGTCTTGACCAATCTTGACATAAACGTGACACTTTTCAAATGTTGATTGTCTAGTGTGAATATATTGCTTGGTTAAAGCACTTCCATAATAGCAGTTCTGCTTTATAATAGCACTGCTGCTGTTTGCGTGGTAAATATTTCAGAACCGCTCCCATCTCTTACCTGTAATTGCTGTCCCTACCCACATATCTAGTTTAAAGTATCCTTAAGAGCTGTCATACACTACCTCGTAAATTGGCATTTTAATAGAATAAGTGTACTGCAGACTCTACCTTTTCTAGAGGCCAGCAAATAATTTCTGCAATATTCTGTTTCCAGTGACCTATTTTTGAAAATACTCTATAATTCCAAACCAAAAAGCACTCACATACGTACTAGTGTAGGCAAAATGTCTCTCTTACTAAACTGCAGTTATGCAAACAGGGACTATTTGCCACATTGCTGGAGACTAGAATTAACGTGCTGTTCTTGGCATATTGTCCGCCATGTGTTTCAAACCTTTTTCATGGCAGGGAAATGCACTACTTTTGTGTAAAAAAAACAGTGTTAATTTTCCACCTTAATTTCTTATACATAATAGGGAAACAACAGCTTTTATACTGTCTACTTGTTCTGTACTCCATATACTGTAAGTTTGTGAAAAGTATGATGTATTTTTGTGAAAGCAATGATGGAATTTCTATGTTAAATAAAAAAGGTGAAATAAATTTTAGCTATGGAGTTATGACTAGTCATTCATTAATTATCTGTGTCATACTAAGTTGCTTAAAAAGTGCTGTTGCGCAAAAATCTAAGTACACTTTATGACCTGGATGCCATGCTGCCATTTTTTTGCATCTCTAAGATGTCATACCTGCCATCTTTGTTTCTTAAGTATAACAAATATTGACAAAATTAAAAAAAAAAGAATGGTTAAGAAAATAATATGCATTAGAAGCAATGTTTTAGATCATGGAGAAGAGGACCAAAATTAAGTTAGGTGAGCTCTAGTTGTGAACTTTGTTCAATGATTTCTTTGATGGTAAATGCACTGTGAATACCGTTTCTTCCAAAGGTGTAGGCAGGCTGCAGTTGGCTAGAGGACATATAGTAGAGTAGGATTTTGATGAAGAATTAGTTAGAAACAGGGTTGGCCAACTTTAAATACTCAGATTCTGTTAACTTTATGTTAAGTCTAATTTACTAACTCAGATTAAACTCTTCAGTGCTGAAGATGGTTTAGATAGTCTGGTCTGCTCTTCTGCAAGCTGTTGAGGGAACTTGACCACTGGTGAAAGAAGCATGCCATATGCTTGTTCTCATTTACAACTTTCAGCCTTATGTCTGGTGTGGTTTGTTTTTTTTTTTTTTAATCTTTACAGTGTCTGTTCTTCAGCTGGGGTTTCTTCTTTTACACTCAGCATTTAGTAACATCAGTCTGACCTTCCTAGGGCAAGGCTTATATTATGAAAGAAATATATGCATGCACAGGCATTTGGGTAGTTATAAAAATAGTCAGGAGAAGTTAACTGAAATGCAAGATATTAAGGAATAAATTGTACAGAAGTTGGAAGAGGGAAGTGAATGTTTAATATTAGATTTGATTAGTAAAGGAGGAAAGAGAGCAAGGGAAGAGATGGGTGTCATAATTTTAATTTCCTTCAAAGAACTGGTGAAAACTGTTCCTCAGAAATTAATAGCAGCCATATGAATAAGAACTCATTTTGCCAAGGAGTTGATGACATCAAATGAAAAAAGATTTGTATTGCTGTCATAGGGAAATAGGAATCAAAGGGATCTTACTAGGATCTGTTGCCCTCCTCTGAAGCTATACCTGTGTAATGTCTCTTTTATCAACCTTCAGAAATCCTTCAGTGTCGATGACCCCGCTATTCCTGAACATCATGTATTTCAGAGCTTCGCTATTCTTACTGTCTACATATATTTTTTTGCCTAGTATGTACCCTTGTAATCTTCTTGCTGTAAGTTAAACCTGTTGCTACATGTTATATTGATCACAGAACCGTAAGAAAGTTCATGGTGGAAGGGATGTCAGGAGGTCAAACCTCCTGCTCAAAGTAGGGTCAGCTGTGAGATAGGACTAGGTTGCTCAGTGCTTTATCCTTCCTGTAAACCTCCAAGGATAGAGACTGAGCAACCTCTTTGGGTAACCTCTTCCACTGCTTGATTTTGTTCATGGTGAAAAAGCTTTTCCTTATATCTAGTTTGAACTTCTCTTATTTGAATTTATGCCCATTGTGTTTCATCCTGCCATGCACTACTGTGAGGAGCCTGGCTCCACCTCCTTTATAGCTTCCTCATGGGTACAGGAAGGCTACTTTTAGGTCCTCCCAGGGCCACCTCCTGTCCATACTGAAGAATTCTGATTCCCTCATGTTTTTCTCATAGGACAAGTGCTCTAGCCTCTGATCATCTTGGTGGCCCTCTTAAGTAAAGTGAACTTATTCCACTTTATTGACATCTTGAGGGGCCTAAGACTGGATGTCTTACTTTAGATACTGATCTTATCTAACGTGCTGAATAGAACGGAATAGATCCCTTGGTCTAGTGGCTGTGCTTCTGCTAATACAGCCCAGGATCATGTTGGCCATCCTTGCTGCCAGGGAACATAGCTGGATCATACTTGGCTTGCTGTCTACCAAGACCTGCAGGTCATTTTTTGTTGCTCCCCAGGGAGTCAGTTCCCCTAGCCTGTATTGTTTATTCCTTCCCCGATGTGGGGTTTTGCATTTGTCCTTGATGAATGTTGAAAGGTTCCTGTTCATCTGCCTGTTCCTTGAGCAAGTCTACATACCTCTGAATGGTAGCCCTGCCCTCAGGCATATTGGTTGATCCTCCCAATTTAGTGTCATCTGCAAACTACGTATAAGAGCATATAAAAAGACAACTCCTGTTATCTTCTCTTGAAACTTTTACCACTATCATCATGCCTACCATCGATCTTGAAACAGTCCAGTTTTCTCAAATTTCTGATGTTAGTCATGATATCTAAACCTCTGATATTGTTACTGGTCTCTTCTAGTTTCCCTTTTCTTGACATTCAGTGCTCAAAGCTGGATGCATTGTTTTACCTGGAATGTTTCATGCCAGTGTGTTATTTGCCTTTTTGCTACAAAATAAGCTTGACGGATTCAACTGTGATCTACTATAACGCCTTGATCCTATCGTATGGAACCTGCTACAAAGCCAGGTGTTTCCTGTTGTGCAGTTGAATATTGCTTCCTTTGAACTTGTCATGGCACTTATTGAATTGCAGCTTTTATTTTTAGATCAATTCTCATCAGATAATCTGAACTCTCCTCAAGTAATCTTTCAATCTCTACCAGTTTGTTGTCATCTGTGAAATTAATTTAATAAGCATGCACTCTATTTTGTGATCTAAGACATGCCTCATGAAACAGTCAAGTAAAGCTGAGTCTAGACAAATGCCTGAAAAAGCTTGACTTGAAAAATCTTTTCTATTGACAGTGGGTGGTTGAACCAGCTAATTTTATATGCATTGTATGTTATTTTTTTTTTTTTTTACAATATTTGTGAAAATTTCATATGAGGAATAGTGTGCAGTTGCATGGATTGTTATTTCCAGATGTGAACTCCATGAGTACAAGTTCAACAGAAGCCAGTTTTGACTTTATTCTTCATTTATAAGCTACTTACTTTATTAGGGTGTAGCAGAAAGCAGGGGCGGAAGACTCAGTAATTGAGAGTGATTTGTGAGAGCTGATCTTAGAATTACGGAGGGGAGAAGGTACATATTTGGTCTGTTAATAGGCTGTGCTTTATAATTTTGGATATTAGCTCTGAGGAATCCTTGGTAATGTCTGCTTTGAGTATTTGATACTTGTAGCCTGGACCAAAACCTCTGAAATAGATGGGGCTCTCTTTTTGACTTTTGACCACATCTTTAGTTTCTCCTTTGAAAGTTTAAAGCTTGCCAGTACTTATTGCTTGTCTTCTACGACAGTGAAGGAAGGGATCTGTTTTTTTTTTTTCCCCAGAGGAGAGCAGAGACATGACAGTCAATGTGCAGAAATGCACAATTGAACTGCCTTTTTTTAAAAATGTTTTCAAGAAGAGAACAGTGAAACTACAAATAATATTAACTAAAAGTCCTCCAATGTGATTTTTGTCTTACTACTAGTATGAAGTGCTTTTTGTTTTTTCATGAAGCATATGCAGTTTAGAGTATTTCTAATGTAAGTAATTGTGCTCTTTACTGAAATGCCATTTTTTTTCTTTGTAATTCAGTTAGCATCTGAATTTGGAACACATGGAATGCAGGAGAAATACTGTAATGTGTTTATTACAGAAACTTGTAATTGCTTTAATTGTTCCTCAAAAGATACAATGCCATTATTTGTTAATGCTCTATTTTATGATAATAATAATATAGACTGATGCAAATTTTACCATGTTAGAAAACTTTGCAACCCGTAACATTTTAAATATCTTTTTTTATTTAGGGTATTCTTTTGGTTTATGATATTACCAATGGCCAGAGTTTTGAAAATTTAGAAGACTGGTATAATGTGGTAAAAAAAGTGAATGAAGAATCAGAAATACAGCCACTTGTGGCCGTGGTTGGAAATAAAAGTAAGTTATTCGTACTTAAATATTAATCGATATACTCTGGATGTTGCTGTCTTGAAGAAATGGCACAGGGTATATAGTATATATCTATAATAAAATGAAACTAAATACTGTCTTGTTTGTTGTTGCTGCAAACAGATGACATTTTTGGGTGTACTTCAGGATTCTGGTTCTGGGCAGTTAGGTTGAGGGACTTGCTGGATTGCCCTTTCCTTGGCCTGCAGCCTCTCTGCCCATGTTTTCTTTACTTGGAGAGCAGCACAAAGGAGTAGAGAGATCTCTCTCACCTGTGTTTGAATTAGATAGGGGTTCGGGATATAGCCATGACATGCATCTAAAATGGAGAACTGAGAAGCATTCTGGAATCTAATAATAGGTATATTTCATGGTTCTCTATGTCAAAAGACTGCTGAATTATGTAGTGGTATATATTATTTGAAATAACTACACTGCACACTAAGTATAATATTTATGAGTTGCTTATTAGTCTTTTTTGCATGCTATCTGTAGTTTTGCACGAGGTTACTCATTTCCTGTTGTTTTGGGATTTTTTTAACCTGTTCTCTTTTTGATCATGTAAGTATGATACAGTTCTATTCCTCTGACCACCAAAATATGCCACCTTAAATAACCATCACCTAGTTAGTTTCCTAATTAGATGTATTCCAAGTTCCCCTATTTCCAGCTAAGAAATCTTACACAAAGATCCTTATTAGTGTATCTGAGGTCTTGATCCTGGCTCTCTTACCCTTTTTCTATTGAATATGATAAAAGCAACATAAAGCAGTTTTAGAAACAAAGTGGTAGAAGCAGATCCAGATTTTTTAAACAATGTAAATACATTTATTTGAACAACAAAAATCAGATTTTATTTCGTTTGATTTTCCAAGCAATTAGTGCCCATGTCACAATGTCCACATCATGAACAAACCTGAAAAAAAGACCTCATCCAGCGAGTTAGTATTGTTTAAAAGCATTTGAAAACAATGTAGAGACAACACTTTCATTCAGAAACATTAACTGTAGTGTTGCTACTGTGATGCTGTAACATTTTGTGATATTAATTAAGAAAGACTACTTATTTTCTGGGAAGAAAACAGAGAAGCCCTTAAAGTTGTAATATATAAATACCAGTTCTGAAAGTATAACAGTGTTGTACTCTAGCAGCCCAGAGTCAATAATATAGACTCTGTTGAAATTCAAATGAAAAATATTTTTCACTGATTCTTATTTTTCCCCAAAATTGGACTTCCTAGCTGGAGTTCTGCAAATCTTATGAGGTATTTACAGTAAGATATATTATAACATATTAATGTTCTTTTGCTGAAATGACACCATAGAGGTAGAAAATCAGACACAGGTTTCCATTTGAAGGAGTTTTATTTCTGTTGCATACCTTAAGTACATATATATTTTTCTCATACACATGCCTGCAATTCTTTAAAATCCAAGTGTTTCTTTTGGAGCCATCTGCAAACAGAATACAATTTTGCAGGTGAGTTTCCAGATAAAGGCTGACACTGACTAGTGAGAGGGCTTTCATTTTATGAAAATAGCAACTGCTGATACAGTGTGCTTGCTACCTTGTTTTTCTTCAGAAGCTGTGTATAAAGAAAAAAAACAAACTATTGCTTTCACCTGATCTTAAAGGTGTTTGTTGTTCCAAATGTTGAGCATGCAGGGGGATGCTGTTTTCAGAGGTCACTTTTTATTTTTATTTCAGCATGATAAAAATTAAGCTTTTAGAAGTTTATTGCTTTTATAATAGGAGAAGAATATCTATGAGGGCTTCTACCCCAATACTTAAATGGCCTGTGAGACATAACTGTAGTCAGGCTCCTTTTGTTACATAAATAGAAAAAAAGGTAAGTGTTTATATAGAAGTATGGTGTTGACTCTTGTGTATTATGAAAAAATAAAGCTACCAGTACTAACAAGTTCTTCAGGTGGGATCACTGTGTTTAGAATAGCTCAACTTCTTTACTCAGTAAGTGATAAGACACTTGTATGCAATGAAAGAGCAATAATAAATTTAAAGCCAAGAAAAGCTATTTCATGAATTGATGAACTTATTTGACCTCATGCATCATGCAGGAGAAATACTTTCAGTTAGTAGTTTCTGTCTCAGGATTGTACTTAGTTTTTGATCTATACATGTCTTTTAGGAAAATAGCCAGGTATGCTTACTTAAAGACAAGAAATGTCTATATCCACAGGCAAGTTACTTTAACACTTAACTTTCTTTCTGAGAAAAGTTTTGAGAAATTGCCAAGAATGTAGTTACTTTAACTCATAGCAACTAGAAAGCATTGGGCCAGTATTTAGATACCTAGATGAAAATTTGGAAGCTCAGCTGAAACCCTCCATTTTGAAACCTTGGCCTAAATTTAGTGCTGCTCTTCTAAGTATACTTAGGTTGGGCCTACGCTCTCACTTGATTGTTTTCACTTACTAATACTGTCAGAAAGAAATTCATATTTCTCCCTTTTGGTGTAAATACACCTGGAATCTCTGCTGTAGTGCTTCAGGTGCTTCAGAAATAGGAATAAAGCTATAGTTTTTTTTTTTTGTTTTTTTTTTTTTTTTTTAAAAAAAAGCTTGGAAGAAAACAATGAAAAATGTTTTTCTTCACAATGTAATGTAGAAAACTGAAATGAAACACATGAATTCTATTAGATGAAAATAATTTCCTTGGGTAATTTTGTCACTGAAAGCAAATTACTTCAGTTACAGCAGTATATGGTATCTAATTGTGTTCTGTTAACTTATCTGTGAAACTACATTATTTATTAGTGATTTTTTGTATCAATTTGTAGTCATTCTGTTAAATGTGTTAGGTTTGCAGGAATTTCTTCAGTATTCCACCATATTTGAAGAAATTGTTCAGTGCTGATTTAAATAAATCAGTGCTAGTTTTGCCTATTTTATGGTACATTACAATAGATTAGAAGCATGAACACAGTAAGCTATTGTGCCTGTTTAAAGCATGATAATTAACTATTAAAATCTTCTGTTGTGATTCTAAGAGATTAAGATTTACTCATAGAACATTGGAAAGGTAATTTCTACATACAAAGCTCCAGTCTCCAGACTCTTATCCATCAGAAATTTATTTAAAATTAGTAAAGTTGTATGAATTGACATCTCGTAAAGTCTAGACCTTTGCATTCCTCTTTTTTTCTTTATTTGTCTTGTTTTTTCTTTTTGTTCTTCAGGACTAGCTAAAGTGAAGGACTGTTATTGCCCACTGATTTATTAAAAATAATTGGGAGAACAAGAGCTTTAGAGATGCACTCCTCCTTTGTGAAAGTGCTACTTTATTTAAGGTGACTGTCTTCCTCCTGGGTGCTTAGTTTTATTTATCATTGTTTTTCAATTTATCATTTTTTTTTTTCCCATAGCCTGACCTACACATTTGGTCAGAGAGAGTAGAAAATTGATTTGAGTCAAGATCTTGCCCAGACCTTCTTCCTGAATTTATGCCCAATTTTCAGTTAATTCTCTAACCATAAATTTTTGTCTGTGCATTTGGTAAACAACAAAAGGAATTGGAAAATTTAGTGTAGAATTTTTCTTTTTCATATTAATTGTAAATCATAAAATCTTAATAATCCGAAAATCCACAGTTGGCATTGAATCTTAAATTCAACTTTCCTTATAACTTACTTTGCAATATTTTAATCTTATTTAATACAAAGTACATTTGAAGCGTACTTATTTCTATGTTGCTAATACCACTACATTTGTACCAGAAATAGGGGAGTAAACCTTATTAAGATTAACAAATGCTTTGGAGTTTCAGTACAATAACTTAAAACTTTTATAGATATGTTGATGTCAAATACTTTGACTCATAACTATAGTTTCATTTATATTATACAATATCGAATGAACTGTGTTTTGTGCATTTAGGAACTTTGCTTAAATTTGGTATTGACAGAGTTCAGTAATTGCAATAGATCCTGTAGTTGTCAGTGTGAATTAGAGAGGTTTCACTGTGTTTTGTGTGTCGGATGTATTTCTTTCCTTTCTACCTTGATTACTTTATATATTTTCCTCTGCACTAATCTATAAACAGTCTCTTCAAGTGTCGTACCAACATTTTCAGTGGATAAATTTTAAACAAAAATTAACCCAGGTTGCATAGAAGCTACACTCATTCTGATTTATAACTACCAAGATGGTCTTAGGGCAGTGGTTATCTGTAGCTTATACAGGGGGTAGGAATTATCAGATACCAGTGTATAGTGGATGGATGAATGATTTCTATTCTTAGAGATATTAACCAGATCCACTCCTCAATAAAGACTAATAACTCAGATTTTTAAACAGTCTTCATGACAGATGAGGGCACAGAGGAGAATGCATCAACACTAATTAAGAATGTTGACCATTTGTTCGTCTTAGCCATGATTAATTGATCTTGGAGTGCTATCTCTGAACAGGAAGTGGTATGCTGTTACATTGCGAAGTTTAAAGGTTACATTTTAGTGTACCCTTTAACTTGCATTTACATACAACTTAAAATGTTTTTACCTATCTTATCTGAGCACAGAAAGAAACATTTTCCAGCCCAGATATGAATGAATGTTTGATGTACTGTGTACTAATGTGAATTTGGCTGGTAACAGGGCATACCCAGTCTGCTTTAGGACTCTGTTACTGCCTTATATACATAGTCTCCCCAGTTGCACTCAGAAAATTCCTTCATTAATACTCGTTTTGAGATTCTGGCTTATTAAAATTCAGAACTATGTATTCATTCTCTTGTTCTTCCCAACTTCCTCCAGCTGTTTTCTGTTCTTGTTTTCTGTAGACTTGCACTTGTTAGAACCTTCACCTGTAATTAAGACGAGTGTTGAGAGGCAAATGCAAAGACCCCTGTTCTTGTGAGTCTTATGCCTGATTAAACTAAAGTTCTTGTATGACTGAGAGCAGGTCCAGTCACCTGAGCCTCACACATGCTCCTGGGATTGGAGGGTAAACTACTTACATGTAGAGAC